TCAAATAAATTCAAATAAATTCAAATAAATTCAAATAAATTCAAATAAATTCAAATAAATTCAAATAAATTCAAATAAATTTAAATAAATTCAAATAAATTCAAATAAATTCAAATAAATTCAAATAAATTCAAACAAATTCAAATAAAATAAAATTTAAAAATTCATAAAAATTAATATTGATTATTATGCAACTGTTTGGAGTGATAATAAATAAAAAGTTGCATATATATCGATCACCTTTTTTTTAAATAAAACTTGAAATTGACATTTTATTTCATAGGATTAAAATCGAAACAGTGGGTCCGTCTTAAGAGGGGTCTATATAAGGACGACATCGCTCAAGTTGATTACTTCGACATGGCCCAAAACCAAGTACATCTAAAAATATTGCCTAGAATAGATTACACTCGTTTAAGAGGAGCTTTAAGAACGGCACAATCGGTAAGCACATTTTTTTAAATTTCGTATTTTATACAATAAATATCATAATTGACTTGAATTTACACCTGCATGTTCTATTTTTGTAAGATACTTTTAAATATTGTAATGCGAGCCAAGACAGAGAGAAACTTGGAGGATTAGAGCCTGACCGTATAATGAAATGGCTCGCATTACATTATTATTTTTGTTTCCCAAAAGGATTCGGAAGCTGAAAAACGTAAGAAAAAACGCCGCCCACCGAGCAAACCATTCGATCCGGAAGCGATTCGTTCAATAGGAGGCGAAGTCACGTCCGATGGAGATTTCTTGATCTTCGAGGGTAACCGTTACTCTCGCAAAGGATTTCTTTATAAAAATTTCACTCTCAGCGCCGTCATTATCGACGGAGTGAAACCGACTTTGGCCGAATTGGAGAGGTTCGAGGAACAACCGGAGGGTATAGATTTGGAGCTGTCGGCGGAGAAAGAAGAAAAAGCCGTAACGCATTCGTTCAGTGCCGGGGATAACGTTGAAGTTTGCGAAGGGGAATTGATTAATTTACAGGTATGTTTAGATTGCAGATATATATTAGTGTGGTCGTTAAAAATTAGTTTTTTTAAAATATCTCTTAAAGTAGACGGATTTGAGAAAAAATCAAAGGAGAGCAATTTTGTAGGAAATAAAATTCTCTACAAAAAAGGTATCGTTTGATTTTTTCATAAAGTCCATATTTATGGAGATATTCTCAATAATAATATAATTAACAAGAACAATTTTGTAGGAAATAAAATTCTCTACAAAAAAGGTTTCGTTTGATTTTTTCATAAAGTTCGTATTTATGGAGATATTCTCAATAATAAGATTATTAACGAGAGCAATTTTGTAGGAAATAAAATTCTCTACAAAAAAGGTCTCGTTTGATTTTTTCATAAAATTCGTATTTATGGAGATATTGTCATTAATAAGATCATTAGGGAGAGCAATTTTCTAGGAAATAAAATTCTTTACAAAAAAGGTCTCGTTTGATTTTTTCATAAAATTCGTATTTATGGAGATATTCTCAATAATAAACTCGATTAACTCCATCTATTTTGTAGGAAATAAAATTCTCTACAAAAAAGGTCTCGTTTGATTTTTTCATAAAATTCGTATTTATGGAGATATTGTTAATAATAAACTCATTAACTCCATCTATTTTGTAGGAAATAAAATTCTCTACAAAAAAGGTCTCGTTCGATTTTTTCATAAAGTTCATATTTATGGAGATATTCTCAATAATAAAAGTGGTACGACACTGCTTTCTCTTAAAATAAAAATTCATAAAAATTCATAAAAATTCATAAAGATTCATAAAAATTCATAAAAATTCAAAAAAATTAATAAAAATTCATAAAAATTCATAAAAATTCATAAAAATTCATAAAAATTCATAAAAATTCATAAAAACTCATAAAAACTCATAAAAACTCATAAAATACATAAAAACTCATAAATACTCATAAAAACTCATAAACACTCATAAATACTCATAAATACTCATAAAAACTCATAAATACTCATAAAAACTCATAAAAACTCATAAAAATTCATAAAAATTCATAAAAATTCATAAAAATTCATAAAAATTCATAAAAATTCATAAAAATTCATAAAAATTCATAAAAACTCATAAAAACTCATAAAAACTCATAAAAACTCATAAAAACTCATAAAAACTCATAAAAACTCATAAAAACTCATAAATACTCATACAAACTCATAAACACTCATAAATACTCATAAATACTCATAAAAACTCATAAATACTCATAAAAACTCATAAAAACTCATAAAAACTCATAAAAACTCATAAAAATTCATAAAAACTCATAAAAATTCATAAAAACTCATAAAAACTCATAAAGACTCATAAAAATTCATAAAAACTCATAAAAACTCATAAAAACTCATAAAAACTCATACAAACTCATAAAAACTCATAAAAACTCATAAAAACTCATAAAAACTCATAAAAACTCATAAAAACTCATAAAAACTCATAAAAACTCATAAAAACTCATAAAAGTCATAAAATAAATTATTCTTGGATCCATTTTAAGAAAAAAAACTTCATGAGTGTATGTCCTAAACTTTTGAGTTAAAGTTTTAAGAAGAAAATAAATTTTTATTGTCTTTTTCATACCGTTTTAAATATTTTTATGAAATTTAGTGTTTATGCATTTTTTCAACCTAAAAAACATTTTTTTATTTTCAACAGTGGCGTTCGTACTGAACTCAGACTAGATATTTTTGAAGGAAAAAGTGGTACGACACTGCTTTCTCTTAAAATAAAAATTCATAAAAATTCATAAAAATTCATAAAAATTCATAAAAATTCATAAAAATTCATAAAAATTCATAAAAATTCATAAAAATTCATAAAAATTCATAAAAATTCATAAAAATTCATAAAAATTCATAAAAATTCATAAAAATTCATAAAAATTCATAAAAATTCATAAAAATTCATAAAAATTCATAAAAATTCATAAAAATTCATAAAAATTCATAAAAAATTCATAAAAAATTCATAAAAATTGCCGGATTATTTTTAAAGTCTAACGCCTGAGAGTTTTCTAAATACACAGTAGATTTTTTTTCAAAGATAATTTCTAGTTTTAGTGGCGAAAAAATAATAAACTTTTAAACTCAAAAATTTAGGATTTTTCTCAAATACGTCTAGTTTAAAATATCTCCATAAATATGAACTTTATGAAAAAATCAAACGAGACCTTTTTTGTAGAGAATTTTATTTCCTACAAAATTGTTCTTGTTAATTATATTATTATTGAGAATATCTCCATAAATATGGACTTTATGAAAAAATCAAACGATACCTTTTTTGTAGAGAATTTAATTTCCTACAAAATTGCTCTCCTTTGATTTTTTCATAAAGTCCATATTTATGAAGATATTCCTTTTTAACTCCATAAAATCAAAATTTTCAGATTTTTCTCAAATCCGTCTACTTTAAGAGATATTTTGAAAAACTACGATTTTATGAAAAAATAAACTTTAATCGGCTTGTTCTTGTTGCATCTCCATAAATATGAACTTTATGAAAAAATCAAAGGAGAGCAATTTTGTAGGAAATAAAATTCTCTACAAAAAAGGTCTCGTTTGATTTTTTCATAAAATTCGTATTTATGGAGATATTCTCAATAATAAACTCATTAACTCCATCTATTTTGTAGGAAATAAAATTCTCTACAAAAAAGGTCTCTTTTGATTTTTTCATAAAATTCGTATTTATGGAGATATTCTTAATAATAAACTCATTAACTCCATCTATTTTGTAGGAAATTAAATTCTCTACTAAAAAGGTCTCGTGTGATTTTTTCATAAAATTCGTATTTATGGAGATATTCTTAATCATAAACTCATTAACTCCATCTATTTTGTAGGAAATAAAATTCTCTACAAAAAAGGTCTCGTTTGATTTTTTCATAAAATTCGTATTTATGGAGATATTCTCAATAATAAACTCATTAACTCCATCTATTTTGTAGGAAATAAAATTCTCTACAAAAAAGGTCTCGTTTGATTTTTTCATAAATTTCGTATTTATGGAGTTATTGTCAATAAAGAGTTAATGAGTTTATTATTGAAAATATCTCTATAAATATGAACTTAATGAAAAAATCAAACGATACTTTTTTTGTAGAGAATTTTATTTCCTACAAAATTGCTCTCAATAATTTTTTCTCAAATTCGTCTACTTTAAGAGATATTTTGAAAAAACTACGATTTTTCCCAGACATTTGTTTAAATGTCAAAAAAGTATCGATATCAACGAATGGCGTTAGTTTGCGTCTCTTTTTTACCCGATACCGCCTTACCTGACCAATTCATTTACATTGTTGCCGGATTATTTTTAAAGTTCAACTTCTTGAGAGTTTTCTAAATACACAGTGGATTTTTTTTTCGAAGATAATTTTTCAAGAATCTTCCAGTTTTAGCGACTAATCATATTTTTTCTATTTAGGGTAGAATTATTTTTCTTCTAAGATAATTTCCAGTTTTAGTGGCGAAAAAATAATATTTTAATCGTTTTTTTTTGCCTATTTAGGGTAGAATTATAAGCATAGACGGACATATGATTACCATCATGCCCAAACACGAGGATCTTAAAGACCCGTTGGTGTTCCAAGCGAACGAGTTGAAGAAATATTTCAAAACTGGAGATCACGTCAAAGTTTTATCAGGTAAATATCGTAAATAACCAATTTTAACGTTTTTAAGATGAGTTGAATCGTTTTTAATATACTTAAGTTGGAATCATATGGAAAACTTTTTTATTATTGGATTCAGTGGATCCCAAAACGTAAAAATCCGTCAAAACTTCGATGTCGAAAAAAATCACTTTTCATAATACAGATAGGAAAGTAAAAAAGTTCCCCATAAGGTTCCGACTTAATTGGACGCACTGTATAATTAATTTGGTATGTTAGAGATATGAGAGATTTTTATTTTTATTTATTTATTAAACATAACCACATTTGAAAGGTTATAAAGGGTTTTAAAAGGTTATGAAGGCTTTTAAAAGGTTATAAAGGAGGTTTAATGTGTTTTAAAGGGGTTTAAAAGGTCATAAATGGTTATAAAAGCTTATAAAGGGGTTTAAAAGGTTATAAAGGATTGTAAAAGGTTATAAAGGGTTTTAAAAGGTTATAAAGGAGCTTTAAAGCGTTTTAAAAGGTTATAAACGGTTTTAAAGGAGTTTAAAAGGTTATAAAGGGGTTTAAAGGGTTTTGAAAGGTTATAAAGGGATGTTAATGTGTTTTAAAAGGTTATAAGTGGTTTTAAAAGGTTTTAAAGGGGTTTAAAAGGTTTTAAAAGCTTATAAAGGGATTTAAAAGGTTATAAAGGGCTGTAAGAGGTTATAAAGGATTCTAAAAGGTTTTAAAAGAGTTTTAAAGCGTTTTAACAGGTTATAAATAGTTTTAAAGGGGGTTAAAAGGTTATAAAAGGTCATAAAAGGTTATAAAGGGGTTTAAAAGGTTTTAAAAGGGATTTTAAAGTGTTTTAAAAGCGTATAAATGATTTTAAAAGGTTTTAAAGGGATATAAAAGTTTATCAAAGGTTTTAAAAGCTTATAAAGAGGTTTAAAAGGTTATCAAGGGTTTAAAAGCTTATAAAGGGATTTAAAACGTTATAAAAGGCCATAAAAGATAATAAAGGGGGTTAAAGGGTTTTAAAAGGTTTTAAAGGGGGTTTAGAAGGTTATAAAAGGTTATCAAGGGTTTTAAAAGCTTATAAAGGGTTTTAAAAGGTTATAAAGGGGTTTTAAAGTATTTTAAAAGGTTATAAATGGTTTTAAAGAGGTTTAAAAGGTTATCAAGGGTTTTAAAAGCTTATAAAGGGGGGGTTTAAAAGGTTATAAAGGCCTTTAAAAGGTTATAAAAGAGTTTTAAAGCGTTTTAAAAGGTTATAAAGGAATTTAAAAGGTTATAAAGGGGTTTAAAAGGTTATAAAGGGATGTAAAAGGTTATAAAGGAGTTTTAAAAGGTTATAAATGGTTTCAAAGAGGGTTAAAAACTTATAAAAGGTCATAAAAGTTTACAAAAGGTTATAAAGGGGGTTAAAGGGTTTAAAAGGTTTTAAAAGGGATTTTAGTGTTTTAAAAGCTTATAAATGGTTTTAAAAGGTTTTAAAGGGTTATAAAAGGTTATCAAAGGGTTTAAAAGCTTATAAAGGGGTTTAAAAGGTTATCAAGGGTTTAAAAGCTTATAAAGGGGTTTAAGAGGTTATAAAAAAGGCCATAAAAGACAATAAAGGGGGTTAAAGGGTTATAAAGGGTTTTAAAAGGTTTTAAAGGGGGTTTAGAAGGTTATAAAAGGTTATCAAGGGTTTTAAAAGCTTATAAAGGGGTTTAAAAGGTTATCAAGGGATTTAAATCGTATAAAGAGGTTTAAAAAGGTATAAAGGGGTTTAAAAGGTTATAAAATACCATAAAAGGTTATAAAGGGTTTTAAAGGGTTATAAAGGGGTTTTAAAGTGTTTTAAAAGGTTATAAATGGTTTTAAAGAGGTTTAAAAGGTTATCAAGGGTTTTAAAAACTTATAAAGGGGTTAAAAGGTTATAAAGGGTTTTAAAATCTTATAAAGGGGTTTAAAAAAGGTTATAAAGGAGTTTTAAAGCGTTTTAAAAGGTTATAAAGTTATTTAAAAGGTTATAAAGGGGTTTAAAAGGCTATAAAGGGGGTTTAAAGTGTTTTAAAAGGTTTTAAAGGGGTTTTTAAAAGGTTATAAAGGGTTTTAAAATCTTATAAAGGGATTTAAAAAGGTTATAAAGGAGTTTTAAAGCATTTTAAAAGGTTTTAAAGGGGTTTTAAAAGGTTATAAAGGGTTTTAAAATCTTATGAAGGGGGTTAAAAAGGTTATAAAAGAAATTTAAAGCATTTTAAAAGGTTTTAAAGGAGTTTTAAAGCATTTTAAAAGGTTTTAAAGGGGTTTTAAAAGGTTATAAAGGGTTTTAAAATCTTATGAAGGGGGTTAAAAAGGTTATAAAATAATTTTAAAGCATTTTAAAAGGTTTTAAAGGAGTTTTAAAAGGTTATAAAGGGTTTTAAAATCTTATAAAGGGGTTTAAAAAGGTTATAAAGGAGCTTTAAAGCGTTTTAAAAGGTTATAAAGGTATTTAAAAGTTTATAAAGGGTTTTAAAAGGCTATAAAGGGGGTTTAAAGTGTTTTAAAAGGTTATAAATGATTTTAAAGGGGTTTAAAAGGTTATAAAGGGTTTTAAAAGGTTATAAAGGGTTTTAAAAGGTTATAAAGGACTGTAAAAGGTTATAAAGGACTGTAAAAGGTTATAAAGGTATTCAAAAGGTTATAAAGGGGGTTGAAAGGTTATAAAGGAGTTTAAAAAGTTACAAATGGTTTTAAAGGGGGTTGAAAGGTTATAGAAGGGTATGAAGGGTATTAAAAGGTTATAAAAATGTTATGTTATAAAAGGTTATGTAAAGGTTCCTTTCTAAATTTTAAATTAAATTAATTTTTTTTCACTAGGTCGATATGAGGGCGACACTGGTTTGGTAGTGCGAGTCGAAAACAACAGGGTGGTGTTAATATCCGATTTGACGATGCACGAAATGGAAATTTTACCGAAAGATCTTCAACTTTGCACCGACATGGCCAGCGGCGTAGATTCTTTGGGCAAATTCGAATGGGGCGATCTCGTAAGCTTGGACGCCGAAACTGTCGGAGTCATTATTAGATTGGAACGGGAAAATTTTCATGTTTTAAACATGCACGGTAATAATCTCAGTATTAAAAGTAATATTTAATAGAAATTCGTAGAAATTGATTGATTTAAATTGATTTAAATTGATTTAAATTGATTTAAATTGATTTAAATTGATTTAAATTGATTTAAATTGATTTAAATTGATTTAAATTGATTTAAATTGATTTAAATTGATTTAAATTGATTTAAATTGATTTAAATTGATTTAAATTGATTTAAATTGATTTAAATTGATTTAAATTGATTTAAATTGATTTAAATTGATTTAAATTGATTTAAATTGATTTAAATTGATTTAAATTGATTTAAATTGATTTAAATTGATTTAAATTGATTTAAATTGATTTAAATTGATTTAAATTGATTTAAATTGATTTAAATTGATAGAAATTAATAGAAATTAATAGAAATTGATAGAAATTGATAGAAATTTATAGAAATCGATAGAAATCGATAGAAATTGATAGAAATCTATAGAAATTCATAGAAATCGATAGAAACCATAGAAATTGATAGAAATTAATGGAAATTGATGGAAATTGATGGAAATTGATAAAAATTGATAGAAATTGATAGAAATTGATAGAAATTGATAGAAATTGATAGAAATTGATAGAAATTGATAGAAATTGATAGAAATTGATAGAAATTGATAGAAATTGATAGAAATTGATAGAAATTGATAGAAATTGATAGACATTGATAGAAGTTGATAGAAATTGATAGAAATTGATAGAAATTGATAGAAATTGATAGAAATTGATAGAAATTGATAGAAATTGATAGAAATTGATAGAAATTGATAGACATTGATAGAAGTTGATAGAAATTGATAGAAATTGATAGAAATCGATAGAAATCGATGGAAATCGATAGAAATTGATAGAAATCGATAGAAATTCATAGAAATCGATAGAAACCATAGAAATTGATAGAAATTAATGGAAATTGATAAAAATTGATAGAAATTGATAGAAATTGATAGAAATTGATAGACATTGATAGAAGTTGATAGAAATTGATAGAAATTGATAGAAATCGATAGAAATCGATGGAAATCGATGGAAATCGATAGAAATTGATAGAAATCGATAGAAACCATAGAAATTCATAGAAATGGATAGAAATTAATTTAAATTGATGGAAATTGATTGAAATTGATAAAAATTGATAAAAATTGATAGAAATTGATAGAAATTGATAGAAATTGATAGACATTGATAGAAATTGATAGAAATTGATAGAAATTGATAGAAATTGATAGAAATTGATAGAAATCGATAGAAATCAATGGAAATCGATAGAAATTGATAGAAATCGATAGAAATTCATAGAAATCGATAGAAACCATAGAAATTGATAGAAATTAATGGAAATTGATGGAAATTGATAAAAATTGATAGAAATTGATAGAAATTGATAGAAATTGATAGAAATTGATAGAAATTGATAGAAATTGATAGAAATTGATAGACATTGATAGAAGTTGATAGAAATTGATAGAAATCGATAGAAATCGATGGAAATCGATAGAAATTGATAGAAATCGATAGAAACCATAGAAATTCATAGAAATGGATAGAAATTAATTTAAATTGATGGAAATTGATTGAAATTGATAAAAATTGATAAAAATTGATAGAAATTGATAGAAATTGATAGAAATTGATAGAAATTGATAGAAATTGATAGAAATTGATAGAAATTGATAGAAATCGATAGAAATCAATGGAAATCGATAGAAATCGATAGAAACCATAGAAATTCATAGAAATTGATAGAAATTAATTTAAATTGATGGAAATTGATTGAAATTGATAAAAATTGATAGAAATTGATAGAAATTGATAGAAATTGATAGAAATTGATAGAAATTGATAGAAATTGATAGAAATTGATAGAAATTGATAGAAATTGATTTAAATTGATAGACATTGATAGAAATTGATAGAAATCTATAGAAATTGATAGATTAATTGATTCTAATGGTTCATGCACGATTATTACATGTTAGAAAGGGAGAGAAAGATCTGCAGCTAGAAAAAATCAGTTATATTTACATTTAAGTCGGATTAAAATATTTCTTATTAAGATTAATGCACATTTTAACACGTTGACTGCCAAGACGTTTTTTATTTCACAGTATGTTCGGGCCGGATATGCAATAATTGTGATTTATTTATAGGAAAAGTTGTGGAATCCCGACCTGGTTCGTTACAAAAAAGACGCATACACAAAGCGGTGGCCGCTTTGGATTCGTACCGAAACAATTTGCATCGTAGGGATATGGTTAAAGTGATAGACGGACCTCATTCTGGTTTTTCGGGGGAAATTAAACATTTATACAGGTAAATTGATGTTAAAATACTATTTGCTTGTTTGAACAAATTAATTTACTATTATATTTTATATAATATGTTTATCCAAGATGGCACTATATGGGAAACTTGTTTGTTATTAGTTTTAAGCAAAAAATGATGTATTTTTCTCAAAAATTCGATTTTTATCGTTTTTGTCAAATTTCTCGAATACGGTCCATTTTAGGAAAATTATGTACATTACAAAAATTATAGAGAATAACATTACAAACAACTTTTATTTAAAGAATTTTTTTTTTTCAAACGTAAATAACAGAAATATTCCATAAAATAGAAAAATAATCCCCTATAAAGTACTTCCCCAGATGTTCCGACTATGTCCAAAATTTATTATGTTCACTGTAGGGTGGATTAAAGCCTAAATTTAAAATTTAGTGTTTTTCACTTTTTTAATTTTTGAGTTATCTTCAAAATTCGAAATTTGCACTTTTTCTCAAATATCTCGAATACGGTTCATTTTAGGAAAATTATGTATAAGACAAAAATTATAGAGAATAATATTACAAGCAACTTTTATTTAAGGAATTTTCTTCTCCAAGCGTAAATAACAGATATATTCCATAAAATAGAAAAACGACCCCTATAAAGTACCCCCCAGATGATCCGACTATGCTCAAAATTTAATCGCTTCACCATAGTATGAATTAAAATTTGAATTTAAAATTTGGTATTTTTCTCTTTATTCGTTTTTGAGTTATCTTGAAAATTCGAAATTTGCATTTTTTTTTAAATATCTCGAATACGGTCTATTTTATGAAAATTTTGTATAGAACAAAAATTATAAAGAATGACATCACAAACAACTTTTATTTGAAGAATTTTCTTCTCCAAGCGTAAATAACAGATATATTCCAATAAATATAAAATACCTCCCCAGATATTCCGACTATGCTCAAAATCTAATCTCTTTACCGCATGATACATTATGAAATCATATATTCGCATCTTAATAGCAAAAAAACTCTCCAATCACTTTTTTTTTTACCTGACTCGGGCATTCGATACTGTTAACCACGAACTATTTTTGGAAAAACTGTACCGAATCGTAGGAAGTAACCCATGATTGGATTAATTAATATTTACTAAATAGTTATAATAGTATTAATAGACTCAATAAAATCAATACCCGCCACAATTTCAATGGGTGTTCCGCAAGGATCCACACTAACTCATCTGTTTTTTTTTTAATATATTTATTTAAGACAAAATGAATTATTGCAAAACCTTTGAAAAAAATGATGGTACAAGCAAAAATTTGGCTGACGAAGAGATTTATGTAAAACTTTCTATGTAAAACTTTTTATGTAAAACTTTCTTCTTCACTATCAATCTATGTAAAGCTTTATATCTAAAACTTCCTGTGTAAAACTTTCTTCGCTTCACTATCAATTTTAGCTTTACCTTGTTTATATGTAAAAATTTCTATGTAAAACTTTTTATATAAAGTTTTCTATGTAAAACTTTCTGCGTAAAACTTTTTTCGCTTCACTATCAATCTTAACTTTACCTTGTTTATATGTAAAACTTTTTGTGCAAATCTTTTTATGTAAAACTTTCTATGTAAAACTTTCTATGTAATACTTTCTATGTAAAACTTTCTATGTAAAACTTTCTATGTAAAGCTTTCTACGTAAAACTTTCTTCGCTTCACTATCAATCTTAACTTTACCTTGTTTATATGTAAAACTTTCTGTATGAACTTTTCTACATAAAACTTTCCTTGTAAAACTTTCTATGTAAAGCTTTCTATGTAAAACTTTCTGTGAAAAACTTTCTTCGCTTCACTATCAATCTTAACTTTACCTTGTTTATGTGTAAAACTTTCTGTTTAAAATTTTCTATGCAAAACTTTCTATGTAAAACTTTCTATGTAACTTTCTATGTAAAACTTTCTATGTAAAACTTTCTATGTAAAACTTTCTATATAAAACTTTCTATGTAAAACTTTCTATGTAAAACTTTCTATGTAAAACTTTCTATGTAAAGCTTTCTATGTAAAACTTTCTTCGCTTCACTATCAATCTTAACTTTACCTTGTTTATATGTAAAACTTTCTGTATGAACTTTTCTATATAAAACTTCCCTTGTAAAACTTTCTATGTAAAGCTTTCCATGTAAAACTTTATGTGAAAAACTTTCTTCGCTTCACTATCAATCTTAACTTTACCTTGTTTATGTGTAAAACTTTCTGTTTAAAATTTTCTATGCAAAACTTTCTATGTAAAACTTTCTATGTAACTTTCTATGTAAAACTTTCTATGTAAAACTTTCTATGTAAAGCTTTCCATGTAAAACTTTATGTGAAAAACTTTCTTCGCTTCACTATCAATCTTAACTTTACCTTGTTTATGTGTAAAACTTTCTGTTTAAAATTTTCTATGCAAAACTTTCTATGTAAAACTTTCTATGTAACTTTCTATGTAAAACTTTCTATGTAAAACTTTCTATGTAAAACTTTCTATGTAAAACTTTCTATATAAAACTTTCTATGTAAAACTTTCTATGTAAAACTTTCTATGTAAAACTTTCTATGTAAAGCTTTCTATGTAAAACTTTCTTCGCTTCACTATCAATCTTAACTTTACCTTGTTTATATGTAAAACTTTCTGTATGAACTTTTCTACATAAAACTTCCCTTGTAAAACTTTCTATGTAAAGCTTTCCATGTAAAACTTTATGTGAAAAACTTTCTTCGCTTCACTATCAATCTTAACTTTACCTTGTTTATGTGTAAAACTTTCTGTTTAAAATTTTCTATGCAAAACTTTCTATGTAAAACTTTCTATGTAACTTTCTATGTAAAACTTTCTATGTAACTTTCTATGTAAAGCTTTCTATGTAAAACTTTCTGTGAAAAACTTTCTTCGCTTCACTATCAATCTTAACTTTACCTTGTTTATGTGTAAAACTTTCTGTTTAAAATTTTCTATCCAAAACTTTCTGTTTAAAATTTTCTATCCAAAACTTTCTATGTAAAACTTTCTATGTAACTTTCTATGTAAAACTTTCTATGTAACTTTCTATGTAAAACTTTCTATGTAAAACTTTCTATGTAAAACTTTCTATGTAAAACTTTCTATATAAAACTTTCTATATAAAACTTTCTATATAAAACTTTCTATGTAAAACTTTCTATGTAAAACTTTCTATGTAAAGCTTTCTACGTAAAACTTTCTTCGCTTCACTATCAATCTTAACTTTACCTTGTTTATATGTAAAACTTTCTGTATGAACTTTTCTACATAAAACTTTCCTTGTAAAACTTTCTATGTAAAGCTTTCCATGTAAAACTTTATGTGAAAAACTTTCTTCACTTCACTATCAATCTTAACTTTACCTTGTTTATGTGTAAAACTTTCTGTTTAAAATTTTCTATGCAAAACTTTCTATGTAAAACTTTCTATGTAAAACTTTCTATATAAAACTTTCTATGTAAAGCTTTCTACGTAAAACTTTTTTCGCTTCACTATCAATCTTAACTTTACCTTGTTTATATGTAAAACTTTCTGTATGAACTTTCTACATAAAACTTTCCTTGTAAAACTTTCTATGTAAAGCTTTCTATGTAAAACTTTCTGTGAAAAACTTTCTTTGCTTCACTATCAATCTTAACTTTACCTTGTTTATGTGTAAAACTTTCTGTTTAAAATTTTCTATGCAAAACTTTCTATGTAAAACTTTCTATGTAAAACTTTCTATATAAAACTTTCTATGTAAAGCTTTCTACGTAAAACTTTCTTCGCTTCACTATCAATCTTAACTTTACCTTGTTTATATGTAAAACTTTCTGTATGAACTTTTCTACATAAAACTTTCCTTGTAAAACTTTCTATGTAAAGCTTTCTATGTAAAACTTTCTGTGAAAAACTTTCTTCGCTTCACTATCAATCTTAACTTTACCTTGTTTATGTGTAAAACTTTCTGTTTAAAATTTTCTATGCAAAACTTTCTATGTAAAACTTTCTATGTAACTTTCTATGTAAAACTTTCTATGTAAAACTTTCTATGTAAAACTTTCTATATAAAACTTTCTATGTAAAACTTTCTATGTAAAACTTTCTATGTAAAACTTTCTATGTAAAGCTTTCTATGTAAAACTTTCTTCGCTTCACTATCAATCTTAACTTTACCTTGTTTATATGTAAAACTTTCTGTATGAACTTTTCTACATAAAACTTCCCTTGTAAAACTTTCTATGTAAAGCTTTCCATGTAAAACTTTATGTGAAAAACTTTCTTCGCTTCACTATCAATCTTAACTTTACCTTGTTTATGTGTAAAACTTTCTGTTTAAAATTTTCTATGCAAAACTTTCTATGTAAAACTTTCTATGTAACTTTCTATGTAAAACTTTCTATGTAACTTTCTATGTAAAGCTTTCTATGTAAAACTTTCTGTGAAAAACTTTCTTCGCTTCACTATCAATCTTAACTTTACCTTGTTTATGTGTAAAACTTTCTGTTTAAAATTTTCTATCCAAAACTTTCTGTTTAAAATTTTCTATCCAAAACTTTCTATGTAAAACTTTCTATGTAACTTTCTATGTAAAACTTTCTATGTAACTTTCTATGTAAAACTTTCTATGTAAAACTTTCTATGTAAAACTTTCTATATAAAACTTTCTATATAAAACTTTCTATGTAAAACTTTCTATGTAAAACTTTCTATGTAAAGCTTTCTACGTAAAACTTTCTTCGCTTCACTATCAATCTTAACTTTACCTTGTTTATATGTAAAACTTTCTGTATGAACTTTTCTACATAAAACTTTCCTTGTAAAACTTTCTATGTAAAGCTTTCCATGTAAAACTTTATGTGAAAAACTTTCTTCACTTCACTATCAATCTTAACTTTACCTTGTTTATGTGTAAAACTTTCTGTTTAAAATTTTCTATGCAAAACTTTCTATGTAAAACTTTCTATGTAAAACTTTCTATATAAAACTTTCTATGTAAAGCTTTCTACGTAAAAC